ACAAGGTGCTGTTGCTCCTAAACGAACATGGGGACCCCTCATTTTTATTTCAAAATTTAAGTTCCTATAATGTAAACAATCAATAGGCAAAGTTTCACATAAATCTCAGTGCAGGTTCTATTTCAGTGGAATGACCTTAATTTAGGCTAAAAGAAAGTGGTAATTGTACACGAGTAAGGAGATGGTTGTAAGGGAGGGTTCTGCTAGAAATTATTCAGAAAATTCATTAAAAGTTGCAACAAATACAAATGACCAAAGAGACAAATGTACACTACAACAAACATTTACACACCACAGATACAAATAAGCTGGGGAGAGGGGGGTATGAAATTAACATTTGACTGGGGTTGTGCCCACAAAACTTAATTTTGACGCAAAAAGATCCCACAATATCCAAAACCGTTACACCCAGCAAATGCAAAAATATTTATTATGAGGGATAAGTGAATTTTCTTTTCATTGTTAGGTGGTGCTGGGCAAAAGATAGGCTGGGCATTTGGTATTGGACTCGAGCGTTTGGCTATGAGGCTTTTCAACATTCCTGACATACGACTTTTCTGGAGTGAAGATCCAAGGTTTCTCGCACAGTTTGAGGGAAACCAGATTATACAGTTCAAGCCATTTAGCAAATATCCACCTACCTACAAGGATGTTGCATTTTGGCTCCCTGAAAACTTCTCTCCAAACAACCTATTTGATGTTGTACGAGGGGTGGCTGGTGATATCGTGGAAAAGGTGAGAGATACCACAAAGAAGAAAGACTAGGTAGAGTTATAGTCTGTGAGCAGGTTCACAGTTAAAGCTTTGCATGTGAGTGCCAAGGCAGTGAGAATGAGTTGCCAAGTAAAGCGAGGCATGGCCGACTTCACTTTTGACTTGCTCCAAACGTGAACCTGATTTAACTAACCTGAAAATTGCAGGCTGGTTTCACTAGCACATAAGCTAAGTATAAGCCTACATAAACCAGACAAACCACTGAGGGACAGTAAGATGTTACTGATATTGTTAGTACCTTTGCCAAAAGGCACTACTTAACAGCATTCTGCCGTGCCTGCCTATACTGCTTATGCTTATGCGCTAGTGAAAACTAGCCTTAAGAGATGACATTCTTACATGTACCTTAAGTTTATTACTGATAGTGGAACTGGATAAAAACGAAAAACTAAAAAAAAAATGAAGAAAGGAAAATTTTACCTGCCTGAGCCTTTGAAATGTGTACCAAATACATGTATCCATGAGTAAAGTCTGTGGCCTCATTGTGCAATAGACAATGTACTAAATTTGGTGGTAACATGCAAATCATAGAGAGAATTTGACTTTTCATTAGTTAACTTAAGATGATCAGTTTCTATCATCCAATGACTTTGTTTTTGATAATATTTGATTTTATTGGGAGAAACTGGATGATGATCACCTTTAGTTGTCACTGTTAACATGTAAATTCTCTTTACATCATCAGTACACTGTCATTAGCACTGGTTATGAGAATATGCAAATCCATCATCTAAGTAATTGTCTTTATGTACCATCAAACTCGTAGTGTTAAATTCAATAAGCAATGTGTGGCACTTGGTGAGGAGAAGTCATCTTTTGACCCTATGAATGACGTTCTTGCATTTATTTCAGGTAGAGCTTGTTGATAAATTCTCCCATCCCGAGACAAAACGAGAGAGCCATTGCTACAGAATAACTTACCGATCCATGGACAAGACATTCACAGACTCTGAAATCAACAGCATACAGGATTCGGTTCGAGAGGAAATTAAAAAAAGACTGCTTGTAGAACTAAGGTAGATTTCTACAACGCCCTAACCCTCTGAGTGACTCACCAAAGTGGTTTCCATTGGCAGAACTTTCTAGCAAACCTGTTATGCTTGCTTGCATAAACCAGTTATTAACTGTATCAAAAGTAAATACATCAACAATATTTTCTGAACTTTATATTCCATAAAGCAGAACTCTTTTACCTGGTCATGAGGATTGTAATGTAGCTTTAGGTAATAAACTGGATCCAGATGTTAAAATCAAACAGAAAGTGGTACAAAGCATTGTACAGATTCTTTCATGTATTATCGACCACAAACTAGTAAAACGATCTCTTCAACTGGTCAGTGCTCACGAAGTATTAATGTTTAGTGATCCAAGACAATTCTTATTCAGTGTGAGAATCCTTATGTGTGCAAGAAATTTAGAGGGAAAAAGAACTTAACAACCGTGCTCAAAATGGGTGTCAATCAATATGCAGAGCTAACTACTAAAACCACAAAAGCTCTCAGACTTGCTTACTTGAACCGTTGCCGTGGGAATACGAGACTTGTTCCACAGGGAATCAATTGTTATAGTATTGATGGTTTGCAACCAATCCTGAGGGTCTAAAAGACAAAGGGGTCGCAGTAGGACGAGGGTGCTCGTCGGAAATTTTGAAAAGAACCCCGAGAGGTACCAAGATCTTGCTTTGTGGGGGTGGCTTGAAATGTTTTCACTCTTAAGAGGTATCAGTTCTAAAACAACAGATTATATCCTGTCTTTTTTTTCGACCTGATACCCTGAAAGGTACTGGAGAAGTTCCCGCTGGGGGCCCCGCTGGGGAGCTGTTGAGGTTGAACACCATGAGAGGTACCAAAACCGCTTTTTANAAAGGTTCCGCTGTGGACTTTTTGAGCGTTTTGAGGCTCGACACCCTAAGAAGTACCAAACGTGCTTTTTAATTCCAAAAAGGTACGATGAACATCCCCGTCCTGGGGTTACTCCGGTGTCCCTGGGAAGGGGGAGAGAGAGAGCGGGGGAGGGGTGGGGGAAACCTGCAGAAAGTTTAAAACTCGTGACGCAAAGTTTCGGACATTCTGCCCCCGAGCGGAGTTCAGCTTGTTCAACGCCATGACACATGTCGCAGGGAAACATTTTCCAAGGGCGCGATATGTCCCATTGAGTGAACAGCAACAAGACTTCCCAAAATGTCCGTTGGAATGTGTGCACCTTGAAATTCTCAAGGTAATAATATACCATGACTTACATTTTTATTAGATTCCAAGACACTCACTCACTCACTCACTCACTCACTCATCCTCATCGAGCCCATGAAGACTCTTGAGGCCGGAGACGTCACCTCCTAATTAGCCTACGTTCGATTATCAGTACTCTGTCGCATCAAAGTGACAATCACACCGAGGGATTTTAGGGAGAAAAGTCGGTATTTTTCTAGCCACATTCTGTTAATTTCCAGGTGTTCAGCGTCATCTCAAGCATAGTTGTAGTATTTTTCCTTCTAAATTTTCATGCCACAAAAAAACGTCATTAAGAAATGGAAAATGATTGATTGCTCCCAATAAATTAAGTGCATATACTGTTAGGTATCCAGGCTGGACTCAAGTAAGGATATGTGAGGTACCCCTCCTGAAATCGCTGTTTGTTTCTGTTATCCAGGAGGGGTTTAACTTTAGAGTGAAGGCGGTTGTAGTGTTTAAGGACTATTACTCGGCCTCCCTGCTCCGTGATTCGGGCTCCATAATCAAACAGTCGGTCGATACGAAGAGAGCCTAAGCTCATGGCTACCCCGGCTTGAACCTTTAAAAAAGACGCAAGCATTTGTTAGCCATTACGCCGCGTATTTATT